ATTTTATTTTAATAAAATCAGCAATATCTATTGATACAAAACAAAATTTTTACTTAACTACAAATTTAGAAAGATAAGAATTGTTTCATTTTTATAATTTTTTTTTTCTTTTGAAAGTAAGGTAGGAAAAAAGAAATGTTATTTTTATCCATTTTTTGAAGAAACACTTGGTTCTTACTGTTGATTCCAATTAATTTATCTTATTTTGGCGTGTTCTATTGGCTCCAAGCATAGACCAACAAGATGTTATTCAAACTTTTACAACACTGATACTTATTTTGGGTTGATTGATAAAAGTCATGACCCAAGAAATTTATACAGTGTTAAAAAATTTAAGTACCAGAAAACTGGTATTTAAATTTAGGAAGCTAGTATTCAAAATCAGGAAACTGGTATTTGAAATCAGGAAACAGATTTTAAAAACCAGTTTCTTGATTTTGAACCTGATTAAATGGTTTTGGAGAAAACTTGATTTAAAATTTGAAAAATTTTGAATTGAATTTTCTCACAAACCATTTAATCAATATTTTTATTTTAATGAAAATATTGATTAAATGGTTTGATTAAAAAATTTCTCACAAACCATTAATCATATTTTTATTTCAATAAAAATAAACTTTGATAATGATGCTTGAATTGCAAAAGACATTTTTTCAAGCATCCAATCACTTAGATCTGATGTCAAAGATTGATTTGTTATGAAAGGAGAGCTTTTGAAACCACAACTGCAAAATACAAGAAACATGGGTGCAAGTTTTTTTAACTTAAATCTTGGATTTGTCAGAAGCTTTATAACGTTTTGACTGATAATAGTATTTATAGTTTATAATTTTTTTAATTTATAAACCTGGAAGCATAAAGTAGTCTTTTTTACAGTTTCATCATCTTCTTAAATGAATTTTGTATTAATTAATTTAAGCAACTTTTTTTGCCTGTCCAATTGCCTTGATTATCAATTGCCTCGATTTCTCTATCAATTCACCTTTTTGGTATTTTTTTTTAATATGCTGTCTTTTTGAATACTATTTTAACAAAAGATCTACTGCATTTAACTTCATGCTAAATCTTATGAGTGATTTTGATTTTGATAGAGTCAACTATTGGTTTTACTTTCTTTTTGGAAAAGAATATTGATTTTCCACCACTTATCAATTTTCTTTTATAACACACAAAACTGTGTTTTGTTTTCACAAAACTGTGTTTTGTTGTCCTTATAACACTTTGTAACAATTCCAACAGTTAATTTTGGAACTTTACATGCTTTTGAAATCAAAGAATATGAGAACGATGGATTTTCTATGTAAAATTTCTAATTTTTTTCCCCATTTTCAGACTCTTTACTCAAGGGTCACATAACTGCAAAAAATTAACCCTAAGATAAATTCTTAAACTACTTGCCAAAAAAGATGCTGCTGCAGCCGAGCAAATAGTATCAGATTTGATTGCAAAAAAGGATGCTTCATCAAGTGGAAATATCAACATTATGTTAAAAATTGCTATATTCAAAAAAATATTTAAAACAAATTCTGATTTGTTTCCAAAAGCTTTTGTTAGATGTAAAAAATAACTCAGATTTTAACATTAGAAAATTGTTCACTTGAAAAAAAAACGCAAGCTGTCACCAAAGTACAGAAAACAAAGAATCCAAAAAACCAAAAATGAAAATGTTTCCTAAACAGATTAGGGCTTGTGAATTTTAACAAAACTCAGTTATTTAATGCAAATAGTTATCACAATACTGTCAACATTCTTATAATAATGAATGATAACACTCTCACTGAGTCCTTTACATCTTCTTAGACTATCGTTTACTGACTTTGTATGGAAACCATATATACAATCAATTGCTAAATTAGCATCTGCTAAGGTTGCTTCTCTTTATCGTGCTCACCATTTTCTTACTCCTGATTCCATTTTCTACCTTTACAAATCTCTTATTTGTCATATCGTTCTAAAATTCTATTTCTCTTTTCTACAAATCAAGGTTGCTGCCCAAAGAAATTATTTCTAAAAAATTATCTCTAGTTTCATTAACTTAAATTAATTCTTGCTTGACTCATCATTTAGTAAAATCTCATTCCTTTACTGTATTTGTCCCTGCATGCTCTAAAAACTTTTATTTGTCTAGTTTTTTTTCCTCCTACTTTAACCATTTGCAACTCTCTCCCATTTTCATGTTTTCCTGACTTATACAACCTACAACTTTTCAAGTCTTCTGTCAACCGTTTCCTTGCTCTTTAACCCTATTTTTTTTTTCAAATAACTCCTAACGTACTAGTGGTTGCTTGTAACTTTGTTGGGAGAGAATCAGAATTGAAAAATAAAAGGTTTTATTGTAAAGAAAAACTAAAAAATAAGATGATAATGATTTTTATTTAGACAACAGAAAAGGAGATTTTTATAGGAAAACATGTTAAATTTTTGAAACAAAGCTGAAATTTGCAATATAAGTTTAAAAGATATATTTGGTCACACATAAACAACTTGGAGTTCTTCTTATTTTTAACAGAATATAACAAAGAAAAGATTGATAACTTGCAAAAAGCAATGCTTGTTTAGGCAATGGCAATGTTTAAAATGCTAAAACTTGGGGATTTTTCAAACAGAGTTGTAGTTCTAGTGTTTGATACAACAGCCAGCAACCGCCAGTGGATAGGTAATCTACCTAGCTTGTTATTCCCAATGTTTTTAATATTTCCTTGTCTCTGTCTGTTATATAACTCATTATGAAAGTCCAGAACCAGCAGAGTTTATCAAACAAAGGCAAGACACATGTCAACGAATCAATTTATCGAAAGGATACCAACTAATAGATCATTTAAACTAAGACACAATTATGCTGACGCACATGATGAAGGCGATTATGATTCTAGTTATCCAACATTCAAGCATTCAACTGTTTCTCATCACATTACAAAACACATTTCAAAAACCTCTCCAAAAAGTAACTTTTCTACGAAGAAAACTATTGTTTGATACAACAGCCAGCAACTGCCAGTGGATAAGTAATCTACCTAGCTTGTTATTCCCTATGCTTTTAATAGCTCCTTGTCTCTGTCTGTTAATCTGTTTGTTAACATCAAATCTTGCAATCAATTTTTGAGTCACTTTCTGATGATAGATTTGCTTTAAATTTTACATACATACTCTTGCTTGATGACAATGCAATATTCAATAATGAGTTTTGCAATAAGTCAATTAATTTAGTTAATTTTAATTAAGTTTTTTTTTATATGGAAAGAAGAAGAATAATTTTATATGGGATTAGCAAAACTTCATGAAAATAAATTTAACCGCATTGGCTTAATAAAATAAAATAGTAATATCAAAAAAAATTGATTGCAAAGTTTGTGTTTTAATAACATGTAAAAGCATCGGGTTTTAAAAATTTGTTTTTAATTTTACTTGTCCTTTAATTTTATTTTGTTCTTAGTGCTGTATGGAAATTATCATTGAGTAACATTTTAGGCCTGGAAAACAAACTTTTTGCAAAGTTTAAAAGTTCATGATTAAATCTGGATAAAAATTAATCAATACAAGTACTGAAAACTGAAAAAGTTTGTTGACCATAAAACACAAAGTTGTCACAGAATTTAAATAATGTGGGAAAAATGTTTTCCAAATAGATGGGGTATGATGATGACATTGTTGCTAAACTCATGGATATGAATGGATATTTGACTCATCTCTACACACCTGCATGGATGAAAACATCATTAGGAGCATATGTGCCTTTAAGTCACCATATGATGGACTTGATGGAACTGTAAAAAGGTTGATACACAAGGAAGTTCAAAGCAACCATACCAAATCCACATACATCAGAAGCCATGTATGAATTTTGTATTAAAAAAAATCTTAAATATACATAAATATATAAAATAAATATTTATTAATAGTTATCACTTTGATATATATTTTTTAACATTTGCATATTTAACTCACAAAGTTAGGCTGGTACTTGTACCTTCCATCAATTTATAAACCTTGAGGATAACATTGTTAGTGCAGAGAGGTGTTGTATAGAAATTATCTACACTTAAATTGGCAAACTTAAAAAAATATAAGAATAAAACTCACAAAAGCATCATGGTGGTTTTCAGTGAACTGGCATTGTAACTGAAATCAAATTTTATCAGGCCTCAAAGAGACAATTACTGTTTTATTTCAAACATGTATTTAAAAGTTGTTGTAAACATGTTGAAATATTTATCTGTTCTACAAGCTTGCTTGAGTTCCAGTAGTAATTATGTTTGAAAAGCAGAAATGGAAGTGAATCAAGGAAAATGGCAACAATAAAATATTAATAATTATTATTACAAATAATTTTTTGTGCATTTATCAACCAAAATCTCTTATTTTTTTTTAGTAATTTTTTGTGTTAAAATTATTACAAAAATTTACTAAATTTTTTTTATTTGGAAATACTTTTTTTAGTTTGTTTTTTTAAATTATTTTCTATATAAAAAAACCTTAGAAACTTATAGTTTTATATATTTCTGTTGTTTTTTCAGTTAGATTTTTTGTGACATTTAAAATTACAAAATACTTTAAATATAAAAAGCAAAAACATTTTATGCAAGAGTGTTTTGAGATTTCTCTAATTTTTAGGCATATTGCCTTCATATTTCAGCATTTTTAATGGACTTATTGAATTCGACCTCAAAAAGTTATTCAGTGTCTATTTTCATTTTTTTGCAACTTTAATATATATAAATAATTATATATATATAAATAAATAAACTTTATTATAAAGTAGTATTTCAGGAATATTCTACTGTATATCACATCTGGTACACCTCCTGCTGTATATAATATATCTAGTACACCTCCTGCTGAATATCTGATACATCTCTACTTAAGATACAGTTTTTATTAAAAAAAAAACTTTTTTAAGCTGAATATTTTTGTATAGTAAGCAATGTAAAGCATTTGAATTTCAATTTTTATGCATGATGCACATTTTTTTTTAACTAATTGAATATATTGCTTTCTTAAAGAAATAGCATACCCCAGAAGATTTACAAAAATACACAAAAAAAAAAAGATTCAACAAGAGAATTCAGAAGAGCGACATGCATTAAATGCTGAGTATATTGGAAGTTTTGATGCTGCAGGCAGCTTTAAAAAAACTCAGGACTATGATATAAATAACAGATTATCGAATCAGGGAGGACTAGTTAATCAGCCATTGGATTATCACCAACACAGTCATGATATTTTTCAAAAAAAGGAAGAAGTACCACACTTTGACGAACTTAGTGACGATATCAGAATGCTTAAGTATGCCAATAGTAAAATGAATACATTACAAGTAGATGATGATAAAATGGGCAACTATAACTCTCATTATGAAGGTCTTGAACCAGCAGAGTTTATCAAACAACAGCAAGACACATATGTTCCGCTACCAGATAGTCTTCACAATGCAGGTTATTTTAATGAAATCAGAGGGCAATCTGAAGATTTTTTAAATCATCAAACAAGTTCTGATCAATCGAAGGAAAACCACAGCAAACCTCATTCGTTTTTCAATAAAGAAAATGAAAATGAATTTAAAAATGATGAAAATGATTCAACCGATCAATCTATCAAAAGGATACCAACTAATAGATCATTTAAATTAAAACACAATTATGCTGACGCACATGCTGAAGGCGATTATGATTCTAGTTATCCAACATTTAAGCATTCAACTGTTTCTCATCACACCACAAAACACATTTCAAAAACCTCTCCAAAAAGTAACTTTTCTACGAAGAAAACTAAACATATTGAAAAAAGTATAGAGGATGAAGGTAGCTCAGGTGCTGGTGGATTAAATATAGAAAAACACTTAAAAAAGGTAAATGATAACTTGTCAACAACAAAATATAAACATACTGAAAAAAGTATCGAGGAGGTAGGTAGTGGAGACACAGTAAATTCAGATAAAAACAAGAAAGAAGCTTCAAATAGCATGAAAACTAAGAAATCTAAGCATACCGAAAATAGTATTGATGAGGAGAATAAAGCTGATGCAGAAAATTTAGATAAACACAAGAAAGAAAGATCAAATAACATGAAAACTAAGAAATCTAAACATACTGAAATTAGTATTAATGAGGAGAATAAAGTAGATGAAGAAAATTTGAATAAACATAAGAATGAAAGACCAAATAACATAAAAATTAAGAAATCTAAACATACTGAAAATAGTATTGATGAGGAGAATAAAGCAGATAAAGAAAGTTTAGAAAAATACAAGAATGAAACGCCAAATAACATGAAAGTTAAAAAATCTAAACATATTGAAAAAAGCATTGGTGAGGAAAGTAAAACAGATGAAGAAAGTTTAAATAAGCACAAGAAAGGAAAATCAGTTACTATGAAATTTAAGAAATCTAAACATGATGAAAAAAGTATTGATGAAGAAGGTAGTGCAGATGCAATAAATTTGAATAAATACAAGAAAAAAATAACTGACACAACTGAGAATTCTAAACATACAGAAAAAAGTATAGACGAAGAAGGTAGTGCTGATACAGAAAGTTTTAAATCACACAAGAATAAAAAAGTTAAAACAAATAAAAAAGAAGCTGAAAAAGAGGACCTGATATTAAAAAAAATTGCAAGTCTTGAGGCTAAACTTGCAGAAAAATTTTCGAGCAATAACACAGCTAGTGCAATACAATCAAATGTTATAAACAATAATGCACCAGAGAAAGAAAAAAGTTTAAAAAATCAAAAAAAACATATAATTCAAGTCACTAATAAAAATGATTCATCCGATAATTCTAAACATACAAAGAAAAAAGAAAAACACCAAGTTAAAAAGTCAACAAATTTTAAAAAGAAAAATGACTTGAAAAATGATTCATCTCATGAAACAAACCACATAGATTCAACAGAAAAAGAAGGTTCAACAGAAGAACATCCAAATGAAGGGTTTGACTTTAGTAAAACTGAAGAAAAAGAACATGGCTCTGGTTCAGGAATAGAAGAAGATAAAATTTTGCAATCTAAAAAAGTTAATGTTGTAAAAGGCACAAAAAAAGAGGTTGTTGGTAGCAATAAAAATAAAAACAATGTTACAAAAAAAAAAAAAAAACATGAAAAAAAGTCAAAAAAAACAGAACAAACCAAAAAATTGTCCAAAATACTTCATAAAACTGAAAAATCGACAAAAAAATCTTCGAAAATAGTTCATGAAACTGAAAAATTAACAGAAAAATCTTCCAAAATAGTTCATGAAACTGAAAAATCAACAGAAAAATCTTCCAAAAAAGTTCATGAAACTGAAAAATCAAATGTTAATTCAACAGTTAAAATAAAAAAATCTAAAGAACAAAATTCAAGTGTTCTTTCAAAAGTTATTCATGAAGATGATGATGAAGAAGGGTCTGCAGATCGAAAATTGCAGACTACTTTAAAACTTTCTTTTAACCATAAGTTGAACAAAACATCTGATAATAAAAATGAAGAAAACATAGGGAGAAACACAACCTCCAATGAAAAGAGTATTGAAAAAAGTATGAATCCTACAACCAATTCTCATGAGATTAAACCTACTATTCTTGAGGATATACAGAGTACAAAAAAAAACGAATCTCTTAGTTACAAAAATACTACAGTTACACATTTTAAAAAACCTATTCTTAATGAAAGTACTCTTAATACTAATGAAAAAACATCAATAACTCATGACAAAAGAATAATACTACTCAATCAAACTGTATCAACAAATACATCTCAATCTTCTAAGCGACATCATATTCCACACAAAAAAAAGAATAAAAAAAAACTTTTAAATAACTCAACTCAGTCAATACAACCCATTGCAACCATTAAAAAGCATAAAAATATTGATGTATTTAAAAAGTTTGAGAAACTGCGTGAATTATATGAGAGTGGAGTAAATATGAAAGCTCACCGTAAAGAGCTTAAAGTATTAGAAGCCGAGTTAATAGGGAGCGGTGATGCTTCTGGAGAAGATATGTTACCTAGTAAAACTGTAAAAGTAAAAACTAATAAAAAAAAGGTTTTAGAATCCAAGAAAATAATCTCAACAGTTGCTCCAACAACTATTACAACACCCTCATCAACAACACCTTTATCAACAACACCCTTATCAACACCATCTTCAACAACATTAACATCTACAACAACAGCTACAACAATTACAACCACATTAACAACAACTTATAAAAAACAAAAAACAACTCCACTGCTACTGCAAACTGTAAAACCAAAAATTTTACCATTTAAATCTAGTAAATTAGAGCGGAAAAATTTTCTTCACGTAAAAGTAAAACCAACCCCACCTGCTATAAAAAAAGGAAAACCTACTCATAAAAACAAGCAAAAACTGGCTGTCACCCAGCATCCTAGAACTGTACCAACAGTTTTAGTAGATCCTGAAACAGACAAGATGATTAATCACACACTTAATAAAACTGAAAACAATAACAACAATAATGATAAAGACCATTTAATATTAGTAACAACTACTCCTAAAGCTCACACATTAAAAATTTCCACATCTAAAGCTCCTACACCAAAATCAACCACTTTAAGATCAACAACAGCAAAGTCCCCCACTCTAAAGTCAACAATATTAAAAGTTCCCACATTAAATATTGCTATTGGAGATGAGCCTGAAGGTCCAGTAATTTTTATTCCATCTGAAAAATCAATTTCTGAAAAGACAAAATTGAAAGCTTCTTTGGTTAAAACTTCAAAAGCTGTTAATACCCACAAACCTGATCATCAAAAAAAGTTACAGCATGTTCCAACAAAATCTTTTGTTGCTCAAAAAAAGTTAAATAAACCAACAAAGCTCTCTGTAAAAATAAAAGAAATGAAAGTTCACAAACCTTCTAACAAACATATTTTTAAACCAACTAACAAACCTACATTTCACATGACTCCAAAGCAAACAAATAAAGTTCAAAAGGAAAAATTGAAACCAAAAACACTTAAGATTACGCTTACAACACAAAAAACAACTTTATATAAACCAACAGTACACCCAAAACCTTTTTCACAAATGTCATTGGAAAAAAAGCTTCTTCAGACTACCTATGCACCATTTTTAAAAAATCATAATTTTAACAATGTTCCTTTGAATATATTACCAACTAAACTACCTGCATTACCTGGATTACCACAGCATTATAAGTTCTTTCTACCATTTCAAGGAAATGACATGAAAACTCACCCCTCTCCTACAATTTCCCATACCAATTCTTATTTTAATAAAAATGAACCTCTAGGGAACCCTCTAGTTAATGCTTTTAAGAGTTTACAAAATCAGCCTTACTTATTTAATCAGGATTTGTTACCAAATAATAAAAAAAACCTGGGCGAAAGCAGTTCTCATAGCATGGATGATGATATGCCAAATGTTATTGGTGCACCAAAGTTTGATAAATCAATAGCTAATCCTAAACAGCCAGTTTTTAATAAACCTTCTACTTTAACATTTAAAATAATCCCTAATCACATTAGCCATTTGCCTTTAAACAATCCCACAAAGCAGCAAATAATTCCCGATCAAAAAAACACAATGTCCCAAACTGATTTGTTAAAAACTTTAGCAGATATATTACGAAAAAAGCCTGAGCATATTCAAGGTTTGAATAACATGACAATTTATAAAACCAGTGAAAGTCACCTTGTAATGCATTCACCAACACTTCGTGTTAAACATATTACTACAAAAGGAAAACCTCATTTGTCTAAAAAACCAACAACAAAACAAATTTCTAGGGTAAATGAAAATAAAAACTTGCTAAGTTTTTCTCATGAACATAATCCCCATATGCTTCCAAATCAAATATCAGCTCATAAACAAAAAGAAAACAACACATCTCAACATAATCAAAAAGAAAAATTACCCATTTCTGCAGTGCATGTTAGTAAACATCCAGTCGTTTTAACAACACATAACAACACACTTTTGCACTTACCAACTAAAAAAGTTACTGAAAAGAAAAAACTTTTGCTTACTGGAAACAAAAAGGAGTCACCAACAGAAAAGAAAAAAGAGTCACCAACACAAAAGAAAAAAGAATCACCTTTAGAAGTTATTAGTCGTTTATTAGGCAATAAAAAAGACTCTAAAAGCTCAGCTCTTGACGATTTTTTTAACGAGCACAAAGTTGCATTGAACCCTTTATCTAGTATTCATAAATCTACAGATCAAATGCTTAAAAAGAGCCCCAACAAGCTTGAAAGTTTTTTCAAGAAAACAGAAATCAAAGAAAAACCTCCATGTAAGAAATTTTTTTTTTTACTTTTTATTTTTACTCTTAAATTTGTTTTAATCATAATAAATTGCTTGATTTCTATATATTTTTTTTCTATTTTTTTTTTATTTAACTTAATTTCTACGCGCAGTGGCTTTACTTGTCAAGGTTCGTGTTTTGGAGTTAAAGAGTTGAGAGAGGGTTGTACCACGATTTACAAAAAAAAAAAAAAAAAAAAAAAAAAGTAGCCTCCTCGACTGTAGTGGTCCTATCTATTAGTATGGCCTAGTATGGCCCCTCGAACTTTAGAGAGGTGAGTAATTAAAAAAAAAAAAAAAAATTTCAAAACTGTTTAATATGCTTAAAGATAAATCTATTTGTTGAAAGATGAAACTATTATAGTGTTGATGGTTATCTTCCTTTAATTCGTAAAGACTCCAATAGTCACATGCTTGGCCTAGGCATTTACATTCGTAAGAATTCACCCATTTGTCGGGAAACTAGGTTTGAATCCATAGACTACTCTTTTATGTGCTTTCGTTAAGCACCACTTCACTCTATCACCTTTCTCTTTGTTCTATATTGCTCTCCTTCATCTCAAGACTGCACTCTTCTTGATGTTATTTCTGATTATATTGACCAAGCCCTCATTCTTTATCCATCAGCCAATATTGTTGTTGTCGATAACTTTAATTTTCATCACACTGAATGGCTTGGCTCTAGTGTCAGTGACTCTGCAGGCATTAAAGCCCACAACTTTTGCCTTTCTCAATCCCTAACTCAAATAGTCAACTTTCCAACTCGCTTTCCAGACAACTCGAATCATTTACCTTATCTACTCGACTTATGTCTTGTTTCTAATCCTAGTCAGTGCTCAGTTTCACCACACTCACCCTTAGGTGCTTCTGATTATGGTTTGGTCTCTCTAAAGTTATTATCTCATTCTTCTTTACCATCAGAATTCCCCTATTATTGTACATCTTACAACTACCTTAAAGCTGACTGGGACTCTTTCCGTGATTTACTTCGTGATGGCCCCTGGGTAGAAATCTTTCATCTTCCTGTTGACAAATGTGCTTCTTACATAACTTTCGTGGATTCAGGCTGGCATGGAATCCTTTATTCCCTCTTGACGATTCCAGGTCAAGCCTCACTCTTCTCCATGGTTTTCCTCACATTGTGCTGCTGCAATTGCTAATCGAAACTATTACTTCCATATCTATCAGCAAAACAATTCTCCAGAAAACAGACGTCTGTTTATTACTGCTAGGAACCATTGTATAAAGGTTTTGTCTGATGCCAAAGCCCGCTATTCTCAGATCATGAAATCTCGTATTTCATCACAAAAATTAGGCTCTCGTGACTTCTGAAGAATCTTTAATAGTATCAATAATAAGGGCAAGTCTGTAATTCCACCTCTTTTTTATGGTTCAGACTTTGTCACCTCACCTAAAGACAAAGCTGAATTGTTTGCCAAGAACTTTTCATCAATATCATTTCTGGATTCCACTAGTTACGTTCTACCTGATATAGCCGTCAAACAGGTTGATCCATTGCTCGACATCCGTATCAATCCAGCTTCTGTATCTAAAGTGATTTCCTGCTTAGACTCTTCTACAGCTTACGGCCCGGACAACATACCTGTTATAGTCTTGCAGAAGTGTTCTCCGGAGCTGTCGTCTATCCTTTCAAAACTATTTAACAAGTGCTTATCAGAGTCTTGTTTTCCAGCCTGCTGGAAAGCAGCATCTGTTGTCCCTATTTTTGAAAATTTTGGAGAGCGATCTGATTCATCTAACTACCGTCCCATTAGTCTTCTTCCTATCATAAGCAAGGTTTTTGAATCTTTAATTAACAAACACTTAATCTCGAGTCTCGAATCTCATAACCTACTTTCTGATCATCAATATGGACTTCGATCTTCTGGTTCTACGGCTGATTTGCTGACAGTAATAACCAATATGTTTTATCGCGCATTAGATAAAGGTAGAGAGGTTAACGCCATCGCTCTTGACATTTTTAAGACATTTGATAAAGTTTGGCATGCTGGTCTTCTCCATAAGCTTTCTTCTTACGGTGTATCTGGAAACATCTTAAAGATTATTGAATCCTTCCTTTCCAATCGTAGTATAAAAGTTGTCCTTGATGGACAGCACTCTTCTTCTTATTCTGTAATCTCAGGGGTTCCTCAAGGTTCAATATTTTGCCCTATACTCTTTTTAATTTACATTAACGATCTTCCAGATTTTTTCACATCTAAGGTGGCATTGTTTGCTGATGATACTACCATTTATTCTTGTCACGATAAAAAGCCAACTCCCTTTGATTGCTTGCAGGGGGCATCTGAGCTTGAAAAGGATCTCACTTTTGCTACAGCATGGGGCTCACAGTGGCTGGTGAACTTTAATTCAGATAAAACTCAATTTTTTTCAGCCAATCGTTATCACATAATAATACCTTCCTATATTTATGAACGGTAATGTACTCGATGAGTCTCCTACCCTTCATCTTCTAGGATTAACTCTTACTTTTGATCTTTCTTGGAAACCTTATATCAAATCTGTTGCAAAATTAGCATCTGCTAAAGTCGCTTCTCTTTATTGAGCTCGTCACTTTCTTACTCTGGATTCTATTCTCTATCTCTATAAATCTCAAATCCGGCCTTGTATGGAATACTGTTTCCATATCTAGGGTGGATCTTCTAATGATGCCCATCTCTTTTAGACAAGGTGCAAAAACGCATTGTAAACATAGTTGGACCTGCTCTTGCAGCCAACCTTCAACCTTTGTCACATTGTCGTAATGTTGCTTCTCTTTCTCTTTTCAACAAATACTATAATGGGCACTGCTCTAAAGACCTAGCGCCTCTTGTACCATCTACTAAAATTCATTCTCGTGTTACTCATCATTCAATTAAGTCTCATTCTTTTTCTGTTACTGTTCCTAAGTGCTCCAAAAACTCTTATTCATCTAGTTTTTTTCCTCAAACATCAGTTCTTTGGAATTCGCTTCCTTCATCTTGCTTTTCTGATTCATATAATTTGCAATCTTTAAAGTCGTCTGTCAATAACTGTCAGTAACTTCCAACACTATTTATTGGTGCTTGTAGCCTTGTTGGAAGCGAAGATGTTAAAAAAAAAAAAAAAATTTATAGTAAATAATTCTATAATCCATAATATAATAATAAAGTAATTTTAATTTTGAAAACATCAAAGCAATTAAATTTGCAATAAAATTCTTGGAATTTTGTTCTTTTGGAATTGTTTGAATTTTGTTCTCTTGGAATTGTTTGCCTTATCAATTGTTAAAAAACTGACTTTTTTTTTTAGAGAAATTATTAATGTAATAATAGTTATTTAAAATAGAGAATTTATAAAAGTTAAACTTCCCCAAAATCAATTTACATAAAAAGGTACTTTTTTTGAAATTATTTGCAAAATTGCTGGATGGTTGACTGTTAGGGCTTGTTATGGATGGTTTACTGTTAGGGCTTGTTATAGATGGTTGACTGTTCAGACTTGTTATAATTAATAGCTTTTTTCATAACAAAACGCTCTAACCAACAATCCAGCCACTAATAACAAAGCTATGTAATTTAATTTGTAGTAATAGCATTTAATGATGCTATACTTGCCATTGCAATTCATGGTTTGTTAATCTACTTATAAAAAGACAGCCAATTTTAGTATTATCAATAACATACTATAAAAATCTATAAATTGCAATAATGTTTTATTTATGCACATTTTTAAATACTTGAAAGTGAAAGACATTAATACAAGTTTTGTTAATACAAATCATTAGACATGCTAAAATTGGATCAATTTGGATATTTTCACAAGTTAATAAGATTTTTACAGCATTTTGATAGAAGCTTTTTGTGTTTGAATTTTTTATTTTAGTCATAACATATACATTTCTAAGCAACTCTTGTTGCCACGTAAATCTTGCAGTTTACCAAATACTAGGATGTTTTTAAAACAGTTCTTTGTGCAATTTTTTTTTTAATTTTGAATTTACCTCCTCAAGGCTATGAAGGCCACTACAGTCAAGGAGGCTTCTAAGATAGTGGTTACAACTCTCTCAATTTTATAACTCCAAAACACTAACCTTGACAAACAAGGCCGCTGCATGGAGAAACAAGTTGGGATATTTTTTTTTAATTTGTAAACAACAACCATCTTTTTATTGGTAAATTTGGCAATTATGTTTTAACACATGATATATAGAGAATAAATGAGATAACATTTGAGAATAAAAGAGATAACATTTGAGAATAAATGAGATAACATTTGAGAATAAATAAGACAACATTTGAGAATAAATGAGATAACATTTAACCCTTTTACTTTAGATTTTTTTTTTTCAAGAGGTTGAGCTGTGTCAAAATAAAAAATGACAAAAAATTTATGCAAGTTTAAAAAATTCCAACTGTAAATTAACTTCTTAAATTTTGAAATAAAATTCTCGAACCAATCTTAAGATATTATAATTTAGGTCAAGCTGAGTACGGATGAAATTCTAAGAAAATAAAAAAAGTAAAAGATTAAAGCATAAAAAATCTAAAATCTTTCATTACTTTTTTTTATTTAGATAAACCGTGCTTTTTTTTTTTTGATGAATTTTCTTTTTTTTTTTATCTGCTTTTTTTGATGAAGTTTTATTTAAGTTGTCCAATCTTTTTTTTAAAGATTTTAATTTTTCTCTTTTTTAATTTTGGTAACATATGTATCTTATTTAAGCATGTTATTTGAACCCTTTATACCTTTTTGATAAAATGCCAATAAATGTACATATATATATATATATATATATATATATATATATATATATATATATATATATATATATATATATATATATATATATAAATATATATATATATATATGTATATATATATATATAATATATATATATATATATATATATATATATATATATATATATATATATATATATATATATATATATATATATATATATATATATATATATATATATATATATATATATATAGTTTAGCAGTAATTTGTTCCAGTAATTTCATTTGGTCAATTTTTTCAGTAATGCTTTGCAATAAGTTCATTTAGTAATATGTTGCAGTTAATTTAGGTCAAGTCAGATAGTCAAGTAGGTTTATTAACATGCTACTGGTAATGTCTTCTCCAGTATAACCTGTCACATGTATTTCTGCCTCCTAGAACTTGCTTTTCTCGGCAAAGACTAAAAGAAGTTGACTAAGAATTGAAATACCTCACTGTCTTGGAGCCTTTGGTTTATTAAATTGTTATTTTCTATTTAGTAATTTCTGTCTTCTAATGAGAGAGTACAGCTTTAAAAATTTAAATTAATGGTTCTGAGGCTGGTTGTTAGTAAAGTTTTCTGTACTATCAGAAATGTTGATTCCATTAATAGCTGTAAAATATCAGTGTATCAACACCATGTTGTATACAAGTTGTGTTCTTGTTAGTGTTATTGTTTTGTATTGTGGAGGCCATATAAAGAGCCCTTTAGTACAATTTTGGGTTGATTGACTGAAGCAACTTCATAGTTTATTGCTTAGGCTTCTATGGTTTCTGTGCACTTTTTATGTCATGTGCAGGGGTGTGGAGTCGTAAAAAAAAGTAACAACTCCGACTCCAGTTGTTGAAATTTTTTAAGTACAACTCCGACTCCAACTCCAAAGCAAAATTTTTAGAAAATTCTTTGAATTCTTTCAAAAATATTACGCGATAAGTTAATAATTTCTTTTTTGACAAATTTATGAAACCTTCTTTGAGGTTTAGTATGAATATAAGGTTAATTGAATGTTTTGTACACGCACGTGCAATACCTAGAAGTTTTACTATTGGAGTCAGAGTCGCGATTTTGTTAAGCGATTCCGACTCCGCTAAAAATGTTGCGACTCCGCAACTCCAACTCCACAGCCCTGGTCATGTGTTTACTTACTGACATATATCTTGGATATCAATTAAAATGTACTCTTTTTAATGTAATTTCTTATTGAATTGAGCAAGCTCTTTCTCCAACTCAAATTTGTTGTCTTTCTCAATCTTTAACTCAGATATTTAACTTTGTGACTTGTTTTTCAGACAACTCTAATCACTTACCTTAACTTTTTGATTTATGTTTTGTCTCTGACTCTAGATTGTGTATAGTTTATCCATGTTTTCATTTTAGTGGTTCTGACTATGATCTCACTAAAACTTTTATTTTGCTATTCTGCTACATTGGATTGTACATCGGACTTACACTCCTTACAACTACTAAAAATGTATGCGGGTTTCGGTCCTTTAGTTCTACTGCTGACTAGTTAACAATAATAACAAAATGTAATCAGTTAATTTTGATGTTTCTATTGTATTTTAAGACTTCGTACATTGTATTTGTGAAAGTTTATAAAATTATGTTTATTACTTTTTAACAACAGTATTATAACCAACATATAACATTAGGCAACACTCTCATTCATTTACAGTTACTTTTGAAAAGCCACAGAGCTTTATTCTTAGTCCTATGTTGCTTCTCATCTGTATTAATGATTTTCCTGACAACCTTACCTTTAAAGTGGTTCTACTTGTTGATATACCAAAACTATATACTCTATTTTTGACTAAAATTTATCACTTTTTGATTGATTAGAAGATTGGCATCTGATTTTAAATTTGGTTTTACTTCTGTGACACCTTGGTGCCAACCATTGTTTCAACCGAATTCAATTTTTACTGCTAATTATTATTGTAATATTCATTATATATTTATATATATAATTATTATATTTGTCATATATATATATATATTTATTATTATATTTTTATGCGAATTAAAATTCGAGTGCAAAAGTCTTTTATTGATGTCTTTTGGATTATCTTTCACTACTGATCTTTAATGAATGCCATATATTTACCATCTGCTAAGGCTGCTTGTCTTTATTGTGCTCATCATTTTTATCTCCTGCAATACAATACAAAGAAAATCCCTGTTTACCGCTGTTGATTTAAATGTACAAATGAGACATTTCTATGGAATAACTTGTAATATTTTTTCTATAAAATTTTGCTTGTGTCATACTAATTTATTTGGAAAATGCCCAGCTAAAAAGTCATTGGATGAGTATTAGCTAAAAAGTCATTGGTTTCTGTAAAGTTTCAACTCAAAAAACTGAAAAAGAGTTTGCATCAGAGCATCTAAAGTGGAGTTGTCAAAAAAGATCAAAAATTCTTTTTAGAGATGAAAAAAAGTTTATGCTGTTCAGACCAAATGGAATCAGGTAAGTTTGACGGCCAGTAAGTACAAGGTATAATCCTAAATACCAACTGGCAACCATAAAACATATTTTAGTTGTGATGGAGTTGGTGTTCTTCATACAATTTCTGGGTCTATGAATCAAAGATATATGTAAAACTATTATAATATCTCATGGAAAAGATAAAATGCTTCATAGATATACCAACAAGATAACTATCCGAAGCATACAGCCATATATAAATTGATTCAAATTGATACAGCATACATAAATTGATTCAAGAATTTTTAAAAAAGAGTAAAGTTCATGTTTTGAAATGATAGATTAAATAAAAGCTGTGGCACTGTGGTTAAAAATCTGGCTCAGAATGAATAGGTTTGTGGTTTGACGCCAGCTCTAGCCTAATAAGAGATATTTGTAATGAAGAAGGCATGAACTTTCTGGTTAAATGCTTTTCCACGGTGCTCTGTGATAAGACAATAAGTCTTCTTGGAACACTTTAATAACTAAAAGCAAGAGAGAAAAAAAACTAAACGTCTACCTAACTTAATCAATGTCACCTAACTTAATCCCATATTAGATCTATGGAAACATGTTAACCATTAAATCAAAAGCAACAAATCATGCTTAAAAAATTTTAAAATTTTTATAAAGCTGATATACTTAGTAAAAGCCAGGAAATACGAGAAAATACAATAAATATTGATGTTTGCATTAATTCAATTTGTTCTATGCCTCGTAAATGGCAAGTCATTCTAACTAAACTAGATAAGTATGATCAGTACCAGCTATATAAATTAAAGTCTTTTTATACCTAATAAAATTTTTCTTTTGATACCTAATAAAATTTATCTATAAATACATTTTGTTTTAAATTGAATTTATTTTCGCTATGTTTTATGTTATGCTTATTTTTTTAAAAATAAAAACTTTAAAAAGTTTTGAAAGAATAAAAAAAAAGCTTTTTTTTTTTATTCTGATTCACTCCCAACAAGGCTGCAAGCAACCAACAATAGGTTGGTAGTTACTAAAAAAAAATAGAGTTATATAGCCAAGAAATGGTTGGTGGAAGACTTAAAAAGTTGAAGTTTGTATGACTCAGGAAAACATGAAGATGGGAGAGAGTTCCAAAGCGTTGAAGTGCAAGGAAAAAAAACTAGACAAATAAAAGACTTAAGAGCAAGCAGGGGTAGATACAGTAAAAGAATGAGACTTTGCTGAATTACAAATCAAGCAAGATTAAGTTTTAGTTGACGGTAGGGTGAGTCCACAAAATGGCAATGGTAGGGTGAGTCCACAAAGAAAGTATGTAATAAAAGGTCTAAAGAGATCATTTTCATTGTCAAAACCACCTAAAGGAGACAAATAGGTGAATTAATGCGTATGTATACCCTGAAGCCAAGCATGTGAGTATTGGAGTCTTTGTGAATCAAACGATAGTACCTATCAACACTGAGATCAGAAGAAGGAATAGCATAATTTGAATTTGTTTTACTAAGAGCAAGTAAGTCTGGTGAATTTTGCAATAGGTAAGATTCAACTGACAGAAGGTTACTTCACAGACCAAGAATATTAGTAAAAGATAAACTAAAAGAGTTAGGTGGTGGGGATGGTCTTTTATGTTTAATATTTTAGGTTACTTTTGGCATGATTTAAGTTTAAAGAGAACTTGACTCATTCATACATAGGGCACAACCTCCTAAATAATGACCTATGCAATTTTGTCAGTTCTGTTAATTAACCCTAAGTCATAACATAGGGCCCTTATTTGGCCTCAACAATGCGCACCAAAAGCATTAACAGGGACATTAATCTATGAGCAACATGGCACAGTTAATACTCTGATATTTTGCAGCTGTTGGTTGAATCAGCTTCTCTGAGAGCTACCACAGAGTTTGGGAAACCTTACTACCAGTCAGCCTCAGAACCATTAAACTGAGTCTTAGAGCTGTACCCTCATTATAACAAGAAGATTTGCATAGCCACTATCAAGGAGGAGTAAGCAACAACCCATAAGAAGAGCAAAGAATATCCAGCTGTCATTATTCTAGGTAGGAAACAATGTAACACAGGTTTACATCAGCTTAATAGACAAAGAAGGGGTTTGAGACTGGTTAGCAGAATTGTTCTGCCTACCCTGAAAGTCTTTGCCAAGGAGGCTTCTTTTAAGACAGTAGTTGGATGCAGTAAATATCTGCCCAAGATGAGTATTTTTATTGAGACATTTTGTGTTTTTATTTGAATAGTTATTTGCCTATTTTTGTTTTATGACCAACTTGTCAGGTATGTTTGAGGCACAGACATTGTTGTGGTATTGCAAAAAAAAGTTATAAGTACATGTGACTTTTGCTCAGCAATTTAAAAAAAGATTTTGTATTTCTGTATAAAAAATAAAATGAACAATCTTTTTTTGTTTCTGTATCTAACATTTTTATAGAATAGTACAAAATGTTGTATTTAATGATATTAATGAGTCACAAATCTTAATAATTGTTCAAATAATTATTTTTCAGCAAGAAACGAATCAATAAATCATAAAAACTTAGTAGAAGAAAGCAGATCAAAAGAAGAGAGCAAATCAACAAAAAGTATGGTAAAACTTGTATCCATATATATATATATATATATATATATATATATATATATATATATATATATATATATATATATATATATATATATATATATATATATATATATATATATATATATATATATATATATATATATACATATATAAATATATATATATATATATATATATATATATATATATATATATATATATATATATATATATATATATATATATATATATATATATATATATATATATATATATATATATATATATATATATATATATATATATATATATATATATATATATATATATATATATATATATATATATATATATATATATATATATATATATATATATATATATATATATATATATATATATATACTATTGGCCATAAATTAGAGCTCACTTTTTTGTTTGTTTTATAATCCTGTTTAATTGAAATTATTTTAAAAACTATTATACTTTTTCAATAATTTATTAGTACTAATTAATAAGTATTATGTTTACTGTTTATTTAACATGTTGTTTGAGCGAAGAAATACAGCATGAAACTCCAAAATCACGATCAAGAATCTCTGAAAAAATATGTTATGAATCAATTTTCAAAACCAAGGTCTCATTGTCAAATAGCAAATGAGTTAAATATCACATATTTGATTGTTGCACATATTTTAAAACGTTTTAGTGAAACAGATGACATTAAGGACCAACGCTGATCTGATCGGCCAACTGTGATAACACAAAGAGATGAACCTTTGTTAATTCTTTTAATGAAACATGACAGAAAGTTATTGCATGACAGAAATTTATGGCAGAAAGTGTCAAACGCTCTCTGCCATAAATTAAACAATACATCTGGAATAAGAGTGAGTTCAAGAACTGTTAGAAGAATTCTTCATAGAAATAATTATATGTGGCGATCTGCATGCAAGAAGCCAAGACTTTCAAAGAAACAGCAAAAAGCAAGGGTTGCCTGATGCAATCAACATAAAAATTGGCCTGATTGCAAGTGGCAAAATGTTATATTCTCCAATGAAATGAATGTTGAGGTAGATACGTGAAAATGCTGTGTTATGCTACAGCAATCACCTCAAGAAAGATTTATTTCAAATTGTACATTTAAACGAACTAAGCAAGGTAGTGGCAGTATAGGCATTTGGGTCTGCATAAATTATGCAGGACTTGGATGCTATCGATTATTTGAAGGTCGACTTAATTCTAATAGATATATTTAAATTTTAGATAATTGCCTTCTTCCCTCAATTGCTATATTTAAAGAAGAAAACAGCAATATCATATATAATAACAAGACGGTGCGTCATGCCATATAGCAAAAATATACAAACAATGGTTTGTAGACAACCAAATATCAATAATGTCTTGGCCTGCTAACAGCTCTGACTTGAATTGTATAGAAAATTTATGGTCTTGGTTAGATCATTATTTTGGAAAAATTCGAATTTTAAATGTCGAACAATTAAAAACTGAAATAAGAAAACTACTTGACAATGTGCCTAAAGAAATAACTCAAAATCTTGTAAACTCAATGCCAAAGAGAGTAAATCAATGCTTACATGAGAAAGGAGGTTCTACAAAATATTAGAATGCTTTTTTTTATGGTTTTGCTTTTGTAAATTGTTGTTCTTATATATTATTTGGAATATATCCTTTTCTTTTTACCAATTTTTTTTTTGAAAAAAAATAACCTGTTTCATTATTTTCCATTTTTTAGTATCAAGACTATTATGTTTATATTTATTTTTTGGATTTCCATAATGTATATAGATTTTACTTATAATATTAAAAAATAAAAAATAACTTTTTTCAATTAATTTTATCTTAAAATAATGTTTTATAAAAATAAAAGTGAGCTCTAATATATGGCCAATGGTGTATATATATATATATATATATATATATATATATATATATATATATATATATATATATATATATATATATATATATATATATATATATATATATATATACACATACATACATACATATATATATACACATACATACATACATATATATAATATATATATATATATATATATATATATATATATATATATACATATATATATATATATATATATATATATATATATATATATATATATATATATATATATGTATATATATATATATATATATATATATATATATATATATATATATATATATATATACACATACATACATACATATATATATACACATACATACATACATATATATATATATATATATATATATATATATATATATATATATATATATACATATATATATATATATATATATATATATATATATATATATATATATATATATATATATATATATATATATATATATATATATATATATATATATATATATATATATATATATATATATATATATATATATATATATATATATATATATATATATATATATATACATGTATGTATGTATGTGTATATTTAATAAACAATATTATTAAACACAAGAAGAAGTGTAATGGAGTGGAACTTTTTAAATATGAAAATAAGAAGTACGGCACAAAATAGTTTTAATAAAAAAGCGATCAAAATATATATTAAAATAGAGTTTAAAGAGTTAATTTAGTGCAAAGTTCTTTTAAACAAATTTTTCTAGAAAACATTTTGATACTTGAATAAATAAATACCAGAAAAACAACCATTGCTGAAGATTGTTTTTCTGATGTATTTATGATATGATATAAAACATTACTGTGTAAAACACAGAAAACTATTGCTAAAATGTAATCAATTTTGCTTCATCTGTGAGCTTTTTTATTAAAAGAGCGCAAAAATGAGTATTGTATACTAATATATGTATTGTATACTATATATTTTGAGTATTGAGTATGAGTATTGAGTATTGAGTACTATATATTATATATTTTTAATACTTAAAAAAGTGTAGATCATTCATGTATACTATATATTCATGTATACTATATATTTTGAGTATTGAGTATGAGTATTGTATACTAATATTTGTATATAATATCGCCCTGCTAAGTCCGTTTTAGACAGACAATCCACCACTTGTGCACTCATTTACTCCTGTCAAGGCCTGGATATATTTCATTCTATTCATAATTACTGGCATACTTAAATATAACGGGTGAGGAGAAATTAGTTACACAAAAGTTAACTTAGTTATGCTTGAAATCCATATTATTATATTTTAGCATATGAATGAAATTTGTATTTTTAAATATTCTAGTTTTATTTAAAAAAAAAATATTCAAATAAATGTTAAACACCAAAGAAAGAGCAGTGCTTCAAAATAATGTCAAAAATTATTTTGTAAAAAATCCAAAAGCTAACAAAGCTGAAGCTGCTAACCATTTTATTAAAGAAGGAATCTGTCACAAAACAGCATATAATTATATCAATCGATACCTTACAGGACAGTGTTTAAAAGTCATAAAAAATTCTGAACACCCATTATCGTGGACTTGAGAAAAAAAAGCAAAACTTTGCAGGTTGACCAACAATCCAAAAGGTGTAAGTCAAAGAAAACTTGCATGTAAATTCAATGTCAATCAAAAGACAATTTGTATACAATTGGCCAAAATAAACATTAAGTACCATAAACGTGAAAAAACAACCAAATACAATGATGAACAGTGTCTAAAGACACATAAAAGAAGCCAAAAACTCGTAAATCACCTCTATAAAGAACAGAGTGTTTTAATTTTAGATGACGAAAAATACTTTTGTTTTGGCAGCAATGAAATGCCTGGAAACACTGGATATTACACAGACGACAAAGACCAATGTCCAGATAATGTTCATTTTGCAGGAAAGGAAAAGTTTCCAAAAAAAGTTCTTGTTTGGATAGCACTATCTGAGCGCGGAATGTGGAAACCACTCCATATAATATATATATATATATATATATATATATATATATATATATATATATATATATATATATATATATATATATATATAATATATATATATATATAATATATATATATATATATAAAATATATATATGTATATATATATATATGTATATATATAATATATATATATAAATATATATATATATATATATATATTTATATATATATATATATATATTTATATATAGATAGATAGATAGATAGGTTTTATTGCGCATTAGACAAAGGTGGAGAGGTTAACGCCATCGCTCTTGACATTTCTAAAGCGTGTGACAAAGTTTGGCATGCTGGTCTTCTCCATAAGCTTTCTTTATACAGTGTATCTGGAAACATCTTTAAGATTTTTGAATCCTTCCTTTCCAATCGTAGTATAAAAGTTGTCCTTGATGGACAGCACTCTTCTTCTTATTCTGTAACCTCAGGGGTTCCTCAAGGTTCAATCCTTGGCCCTATACTCTTTTTAATTTACATTAACGATCTTCCAGATATTCTCACATCTAAGGTGGCATTGTTCGCTGATGATACTACCATTTATTCTTGTCAGGATAAGAAGCCAACTCCCTCTGATTGCTTGCAGGGGGCATCTGAGCTTGAAAAAGATCTCACTTCTGCTACATCATAGGGCTCACAGTGGCTGGTAAACTTTAATTCAGATAAAACTCAATTTTTTTCAGCCAATCTTTATCGCAATAATTTAGACCTTCCTATATTTATGAACAGTAATGTACTCGATGAGTCTCCTACCCTTCATCTTCTAGGATTAACTCTTACTTCTGTTCTTTCTTGGAAACCTTATATCAAATCTGTTGCAAAATTAGCATCTGCTAAAGTTGCTTCTCTTTATCGAGCTTGTCACCTTCTTACTATGGATTCTTACTATCTCTATAAATCTCAAATTCGGCCTTGTATGGAATACTGTTTCCATATCTGGGGTGGATCTTTTAATGATGCCCTTTCTCTTTTAGACAAGGTGCAAAAACGCATATTTGGACCTGCTCTTGCAGCCAACCTTCAACCTCTGTTACATCGTCGTAATTTTACTTCTCTTTCTCTTTTCTACAAACACTATGATGGGCACTGCTCTAAAGAGCTAGCGTCTCTCGTACCATCTACTAAAATTCATTCTCCTGTTACTTGTCATTCAATTAAGTCTCGTCCTTTTTCTGTTACTGTTCCTAAATGTCCAAAAACTCTTATTTGTCTAGTTTTTTTCCTCGAACATTAGTTCTTTGGAATTCACTTCCTTCATCTTGTTTTCCTGATTTATATAATTTGCAATCTTTTAAGTTGTCTGTCAATCGTTATCTTGCTCTACAATCTTCATCTTTTCTCTTCCAGTAACTTCCAACACTAATTAGTGGTTGCTTGCAGCCTTGTTGGAAGCAAAGATGTTAAAAATATATATATATATATATATATATATATATATATATATATATATATATATATATATATATATATATATATATATATATATATATATATATATATATATATATATATACCGGGTGACCACGCAACTGCATTACCCTCAAATTTATGGGTCTATCCATGCTTGTAGATATTCGTGGGTCTATTTGTTTACAAATTACGCAATGATATCAACACAAAAATAAAAAAAACGTAAAAACTAAAAAAATTTAATGAAAATGGATCTGCAAGAATCAAAAAGACAAAGCATTCTGCAAATGTTGCAATTGGATAAGACTACATCAGATATCAGAAAGGATTTAAACTGCTCCAGAACAGCAATTTTTCGAGTAAGAAATTTTTTTCATGAAACAGGAGATATCAAACGATGTTTTAATAAGCCAAAACCTGTGAAACGATCACCTCAGCTTTTAAGGTCTGTCAAAAGAAAAGTCAAGCGAAATCCATTACGCTCCATCCGCCAGTTTGTAAGGTAAGCCAATGTTGTCAACTCTGCATTGCAAAAAGTTATGAATGATTTGAACCTTAAATCCAGAGCTGTTGTGACTAAGCATCTTATCACTAATAAACAAAGAAAGTAGGAAAGAGCAATGCAAAGAATTGTTAAACTGGCGAAAATCTTACCCTGGGTGTGTGACAATCTTCTCTGATGAAAAACTTTTCACTGTGGGTAAAGTTATTAATCGTTGTAACACAAGATACCTTAGTACTGCCAAAACAGTAAAGGAAGTCCCTGAGAATATCAGGTATTCATTTTCATCAAAAAACCAGCTTCTGTGATGGTACTTGGCGTGATAGCAAATGATGAAAAAAAGTGTCCACCAGTTTCCAAGGTCAAAAATTTAAAGTGATGAGTATATCCACCTCCTGCAAGAGAAGGTCATTTCCTGGTTAAACAGAAACTATCCAGATGGTCAGTATGTGTTTTAGCAGGATGGGGCACCAGCTCATACTTCAAAAGAGACACAAAATTTTCTCAGTGAAAACATGAGTCAGTAATGGGACAAATTAAAGTGGCCCCCATCTAGCCCAGATCTGAACCCATTAGACTTTTTTATGTGGATGGCTGTGGAGAAGGAGGCTTGCAAGATTCCCCATGGAAGTACCGAGTCACTAAGAAAATCTATATGCAAAGCATGGGCCAAAGTTACAGAAGAAGATGTCAAGAATACATGCAGATCCTTCCAGCGACGTATCCAACTTGAGTATGATGCCAATGGTGGCCACATTGAATAATTTTAAACCTTAGTCATGAATAAACATCTAGTCAAAATTCTAGTCAGTTATGAATTGAAATAAATTTATATATATATATATATATGTATGTATTTTTGTATATATAATTAAAACAAATTCACTTTTGACAAAGTTGCAAGTAACCATTATTAAGTTATGAATTACTAGAAAACAAAGGATAAAGTTAAAGAAAAAAGGAAATGGTCAGCTAAAGATTGTATGTTGTATGAGTCAGGAAAGAATAAAAAATTATTCTTTCATATGAATAATTTTTATTCTTTCCTAACTCATACAAGAATAGATTAATAAAATTTTTATAGCATGAAGGGACAGATACATTAAAAATATGAGAATTTGTAGAATAACAAGACAAGCAAGAATGAGTTTAGGTTGATCAAACCAAATATGATAGTATTTGTAAAAAAAAAGAAAGTGGTGTAACCTCACAATTATGGGATAGTAGCTTAAGCTCGGCAGAAAAAGCAGATCCAACTATATTTACAATAAGCTTTGGTACCTTGTCTGAAATTGAGAGGGTTTTTATTTATCAATATAGGAATGATAACATTTGACAAAATTCAGTTATTTACTGCAAGTATTGCAATAGTTGTTTGTTGTAAACTGAATTTTGTTAGAGTTAAAATCCACATCTCATCTCATGCCATCTGCTGTTACAGAAGAGAGATCAGAATAAAGTTTAACTGCTTGTGATTAAAAAGTTGATCTTTAGTTTGAGAGATCAGATTAAAGATCGACTGCTTCAAAGTGTTCAAAAAGTAAAGACTTATTATCAAGCCAAGAGTATAAAGTTGTCATCAAGAGAATAAAGTTGTCATCGGGAAAAATAAAAAAAAAAGCTAAGAGTGTAAAGTTGTCATCAAGAGTATAAAGTTGTCATCGGGAAAAATAATAAAATGAGACCCATGAATTAGAGATGTAATGTCAGACTTATTTTAGTTAATGACACTCTTAAAGATTTTCCTAAAGTCTCTAGAACCTTACATCTGAAATAAGATACAAGATTTAGTAAACTGAGTATAATGAAGCTTAGCATCAGACAGAATTTATCTACATTAGCTTTTATCTAGATGCTGGCATACAATATCTTTACATAATTTTATAAACCTTAGTATTTAATGGTGTAGAGTTTGCCAAAAGAGAAGATGATGATCAGATGGATGTGTGACCCTAACAAGACAATGGATGCATGACTCTAACAAGAATAGAAGAGAAGCCCTTAATTTTGTTCTTTAACAAGCATTTTATAAAACAACGTTTGTCATGGTAGAGGTAGAAAACATGGAGAGAGTGCATTACATATGGTATGAACAAGCTTTTGTTAATAAAAGAAAATCCTCAAGATTTTTTAAGTTAGAAAAACAGCATTAAAGGGAAGGCAAAAGCTTGAACATGCTGATGGTTATAATGATGATGATGATGATGATGATGATGATGATGATGATGATGATGATGATGATGATGATGATGATGATGATGATGATGATGTGATGATGATGATGATGATGATGATGATGATGATGATGATGATGATGATGATGATGATGATGATGATGATGATGATAATGATGATGATGATGATGTTTATATATAAACATTCATGCAATTCTGACTTAAAAAATATACGTTAGGATGTATCATTGTTTATGCAGTGCCGCTCACAAATCCAGCCCTAACCCTGGCTTTTTTTTATCAAACTTGGCCCTGGTCAAATTTTAACCCTGGTCACTTACTAACCTAAATATGTATATATTTACTTACAAACAAACAGTTATATGATTTTTATTTTCATATTGCGCAAACATAATAAAAAATGCAAAGTACATATTTTGTTCATATATATATATATATATATATATATATATATATATATATATATATATTGATTATGGTTATTGCTATATGAGTCAAAAAATCAAGCAAGTAAATAGTATACTACCGTATATGATGTTTTAATGCTTATATTATTATTACATATACTAAATATATGTATATATATGTAAACACACTCACGCATTTATGCATTAGTATATGCATATAAATATGTATATATAGCAGGTAAAAAGATAATAAAAAATGTATCGGTGCTTTGAAATAGAATTAACTAGGGGACTAATTTAAGAATAGATTCACCAATGATGTTTTGGAGAGCATGAATGTATCATTGTAAACTTTATCATCATCTGTAGTATATAATTGCAGCATATACTGTTTTATTTTTGTTAGTTTACTTTTTTATTGCATTTAGTTTACTTTTTTTATTTAATTACTAATTTTGATTATAATTTGTTAAAGTTTACAACTTCATTTATTTTTTAATGTAGTTTTGCATTATCAAACTCAAAAGTGTTTTCAGTAAAAAATATTTTGGTTTTGGATGTTATGTGTTAAGATTTGTGTGAATTAGTACTATTATTTTTATTATTTTTATATATTGGCTAAAATTGAAAATTTAGCAAATATATAATAATAATAAAAATAATAGTACTTATAACAACAATAACATGCAATTTAATTGAAGCAAGCATATAAGTAATAAAAATAATGATAGTTACAATGAAATTAATAATGAATTTTTCAGTACAGATTTGATAAAGTTAATTGTCTAACACTTATATATATACACTTGTATATTATATTTTTCTAGACTGCAGAATCATGAAAGATTTGAAAAATACGGTTTTTAGCAATGAACATGTTGGAACAATCCAGAATATTCCAGGACAATCAAATATGAGTAGTTGTTTTGAAAAATGCTGCCATATTGATACATGCCATGTTGCTATGCTTGATGTTGGTGTAAGATATTGTTAAACATTTTTTATTGAAGTTTGTTTTTGGTTGCTTGTTTTTTATATTGTTTTTGGTTGGTTGCATTTTTTATTGAAGTTTGTTTTTGATTGTTGGTATTTTACATTGATTTATTTGACTTTTTAAATTACTTATTATGAGTGCCTAAAGAAGAAACTAGAGAAAGTAAAGATATTCAAAAAAAATTGAAATTAGGAATTAAAAAAATATTGATAACTTAAAAGAATACAAAACACAACATGTTTTGAACATTACATTATTTTTGTCACCTTTATAAATCCTACTACAAACGAGATTAATATTTAAAAGAGTAAGTAACACAAATTTTTTTTTAGTTATAGGTTAACTTTCAAAATTGCAAAATGAAACAAACTTTATTATGAAAGTAAAAACTGAAACTTTTATAAGCAAATACGAATCATTTTTTCAATGCATGTTTTACATATTAATCAAACTTTCGGTTGGCACTACTCTGGGGTAACAATACATTAATTTTTATTAGGGGTAAACACAACCTTTAAGGTACTACTCTGATAAACCCACTAAATAAATAGAAAAAAGATAAAATTTTCTGCCATATTTGAAGCACATTATATTGTGCTTGTAGTAAAAAATTTTGTTTGGTATACTATTGCATAAATGTTTTTTTTATTTTGGATAGGTATGCAAACTAGTTCACTGCAATAACCATGAACTGTGTCATTCGCTTCTTACTACAAAAAGAGATGTGCACTTGGTATTTTTAGAAAAAAATATTTCTGACATGGAACCAAAGAGATTTTGTGTAAAGCAGAATTCGATAGGTGTGCCATGGGAACCAACACTAGCTGGCTCAACAGCTATGCGAAGTTGTCCACGTGATGCTTTTGGTAAGTTTTTTTTTTTGTGCCAGAAATTTTTCTTATTTCAAAAAGTTATGACAAACAAATGAGAGAATTTTTATGAAACATTTAAAAAATAAAAATATTGTATAGGATTTTGATGAAATTAATGAATATTTGATGAAATAAAGTTTTCTAGCTGTTATATATGTATAAATATATATTTGAGCTAACACCATTTATTTTTTTCAGGGTTGGCACTTAAAAAACCAAACCCAAAAACCCAAGAGCAAAAACCCACCAAAAACCCAACTTAGTGGGTTTTTGGTTTTTTGAAAAAACCCAACTTTATGGGTTTTTGTATTTATAATAATTTTATTCATAAATTAATTTCCATTCACACTCAAGATTTGATGCTCAAAAATTGTTATAAAAGCAAGAAGTTTAATGAATCATAAATGCGATTTTATTTTATTTGAAGTAGAAATATTCAAACTTAAAGGTTTAAAACAAATTTAAAACAACTCAGTCATCAGCAATTGTTCATCTTGACCTTGATGTATGTAAATTTGTACAAGCATTGTTGCTTTTCCTCTTTCTAAAAGATTCCTAATTTTCTTAAATATCTTGATTCCTAAATTAGGCTTCATTTAACTATTCCTCGGCTTCTTCTTCTTGACTTCTATCCAAGGTTCTTTCATTCTTCAGCCATTCATCAGCTTCTTCTTCTTGACTTCTATCCAAGGTTCTTTTTAGATAAATAAAAAATTTTTTATCAGCATTTATTTTAAATTGATCAGATGCAAGTTTTTAATTTTTTTACAATTTTATAGTTACCTAAAATGATATAGAAAAATTATTTTCTTAAACCTCTGTAAAATATCATCTTTGTATCGTCTTGAATACTATGAGCATTTATAAAATCATTACTAAATGTACTCCAATCATCTTGAATTAGGATAACAGCACAATCATCATCAAGATCACATTTCATTATATTGATTATTTCTTTGTTTACCTTTACTAAGAGTTCTGAAGATATCTGTTTTCTATTCTATAGGTAGTCAAGTCAAGTTTTTCTACTATGTTGAATGGTATATTTGTTGAAATAAAGAAACCTTTTAACCTGCGAATCCATTTCATTCTTCTGATTACTTGTTGTTGAAGTAACAAATTTAGAAACGGATGTTTGCAGTTGCATCGTCATTGCAGTTAAATAAACAATTGGCGAAGATTTACTAATAAAGCTAAAGTAACCTTGATCATTATCTTCTGACTGGTTAGACTTGTTCAAAGCGGCAGATGTAGATGGTCTTGACACTAAAACTGATGTATAGTTAAATACTTCTGCGGAATTCTTAGCAATTCCTTTTTTCTTACTTCTGAATTTATCAAAATGATCTTAACTCTCACTACTTTTTTAATTATGTTCTCCTTGCAATGATTACATATTAATCTACTTGATTGATCACTTAATATGGTCACTTCATTCTACCCATTAGCCTAATTTCTTCACTCAAATTGATACTTTGATATGTCAATGTCAAATAAAGACATATAGTTCAATTCTATTTTAAATTTGACTAAAAAGATAACTCAGTTAAACAATAAATTTATATTAGAAAAAAATGCGATCTGATTATAAATTAAGCTTTTGTATAAGAAAATATAACTTTAAAAAATGACAAATAGCTTTTAAATTACTATAAATTTATCAAATTTTGTTACTAAAGGTTTGTACGCAACTTAAGTAAAAACCCAATAACCCACCCAAAAACCCAGTTGGGTTAGGTTTTTGTTCAAAAACCGGGGTTTTTGCCAATCCTAATTTTTTTTCATTATTTTGAAATTTAGAGAATCATATATCTAGAAAACTATGGTTCTACAAGTGTTGTAACCAAAACTAAAACCTAAACAAAGTAAAAAATATGTAACTAAAACTATTTGACTAACTTTAATTTAATTTTAATTTAACTAAAATGATTCGACTATTTTTTTAGCTTGACTAAAATTAGTCGACTAACTTTTTAACTCAACTAAAATAAGTCTAAAAATATTTTATAACTTTTATGTAATAATTAATTTTAAAAATATTTTTAAAAATAATTAGTTTTAAATAACAGTTTTAGTAGACTAACTTTAGTTAGACTAAAAATTTAATAGAATAGTTTTAGTAAAAAATAAAAAAATTTGTTGACAAATTTTAGTTAACTAAAACTACCATTTCTCTTTTCTATTATATTATGTTATTAATATTAATATATATATTAATATTAATGTTTCTACTATTTAACTAGTAGCAAATACTTTTTTGATTAAAACTCAAAAAAATTAGCAACCAGTCTTCTCTTTTTAAAATTTAATGCCAACGCACAAAAAAGGGCCGTGCGCGATTTTAAAATTCACCTTTATTTCCTATTTAAATAAAAATAAAAAAAAGTGAAATGAATGCTTTGAGTAAATTTAAATGAAATATTTTTTAAAAATTCAGCTAGCAAATATTTTATTAAAATTCTAGACAAAGTAATTAAGGCAAAAAAAAATAAAAAATTAAATATGTTTTTTTATAAATATTAAACAAAATAATGATAACAAAAATGGAAAGACAAGCATTTTATTTCAATTCTAGATAAAATAATTAAAATAAAAACATCAAAACAAACATTTGATGTAAGTTAAAATAACTAAAAAATAAACTGCAATACAAAAAAACAAAAAAACAATTTATAATAAAATATATTAATAAAATAATTACTTTAAAAGTTCTCCAAACGGAGAAAACTGAGCAACATCTATTTTTTTTATCTACCTAATAATGCCTACTTTTTATCTACAATTAGTTAAACATAAATTAATTGATAATATTATCATATTATCAATTAATTTATGTTTGGTATACTTATCATAAATTATCATTAACTAATCATAAATAGAGTTTACATTTTACTTTTGAGACAGAAACAAGTTAATGTGTTTCTTTGTAACTCTTAGTTAGGTTTGTAATAATAAATATTTTTTAAGTCATTTCTTTTTAAGAAATTGAGAATAATGTTGGCAATCAATTAGATATTTATTTTCGTTGATTAAAATATAGTTTTTCTTTTTTTGTAATTTTTTTTTTTATATACTTTAACTTGAAATTTTTAAAGTCACCTTTTTTAGAGCATCTATTCATGTCATATATTTTTTGTAATTTTCATTAAAGGTCAAGCAAAACGAAAATGTGATATTCATGCACATTGGCAATCTCCTGATTTTAGTGAATGTACCTCACTTGAATATTCTAACATGGAGCAGAAGGTAAGTTGACACTTGATATTTTATGTTGGTATTTGATATTTTATGTTGATATTTGATGTTTTATGTTGGTGTTTAGTGTTTTATGTTGACGGTTGAGATTTTATATTAACAGTTGAGGTTTTATGTTGACATTTGATGTTTTATGTTTTAGTGGTTATCATATTTAATATTTCTGTAATTTTTTTCAGATAAATGGTTTAGGTTACACAGAAAGTGCTCGTTCTCTTGTCAGAGAAATTGAGGACATTACAACGCAATCTATTGATAACTCAATGATTTTTGGAGGAGATCTTATGAGAGCAACGAAAGCAATAACTGGGATTGTTAGGTTTATTACTGAAACTAAAGCGGAATCATTTGACCATACTGATTTAAAGGTTTGATTGCATTAAATTATTTTTCTTAGTTTTTATTTAAAAGTTTTTATGAAAAAAAAAAATTTTTATGTAGAGTTTCACCAAATCAATCAGCAATATGCTTGACGAGACGAACAAACAAGAATGGATGAATATTCAACAGGTAATGCTTTTGTTGTATACTCATCGAAGATGAGTAAACTTACAATATATTACTTATTATTACTTACTATAAGATGAATATAATTACTTGTAATTATTTAATTTAGTAAAAATAATAATATTTATATAAAAATTGAAATAATTTTGTTGTAAAAATATTAAAAGAACAATATAATTAAGATAAAAAATTCATAGACATGTTCTGTGCAAGCTTTCTTTATTCTTTGAGTTTCTTAATGTTAGAAGTGCAGATTCTCTAATCTTGACCCACAATGCACTTATGCTTTTCAGTGCCTCTGATGATGCTCTGTCTTCTAATCCAATCATGCCTCATAAATAATAAAAGTTTACTAACATTTTTTATCTTGCAACAATAGTCTCATCTCCACTCTTTTATAGTCTCCACTTTCATTACTTCTCTCTTTTAGCCTCTAAAATTACCTCACCATGGTGATAAACAGGTTTATCACTATGGTGATAAGTATTTGTGGTGATAAAGCAAGATCAATTTTTACATTTACAGTGATGATTTGGTGTCATTTCTGTTTCTGGAGAAAAAAAAGTAAAATTAGATTTATGTAAACTTGGAAAAATCTACAATATGAGTAGGTTGGGGTTAAAAAGAAGTTCAAGGTCAAGTTTAAATCAAACATTCAATGCTCATGCAATTTACACCTTCATACATTCTACACTCATACAATTTATAATACCTAAATAAAATTATCTTTAAGTAGTATGTCCAAATTTTGTTTCAAAACTGTTTTGAAAAAGAATTTTTAAAATGTTAAATTTTTGTTTTTTGCATAACTTTAGTTGTTTTTTTTATACATTTGCTGTTATGGTGTCATTGTTGTAACTATAGGTTCCTGGTCCTTCTAGGCTCATGAATTCTCTCGATGAAATTGGTTTGTATAGTGCAGAGAGAATGGCTGTACCATCTGAAATGAAACCAGTCATTACAAGAAGTATATGTATGTTTCAAATAATACTTTAAAATCAAAACATAAAAAAAATAAAGATTGTGTGTTAGCCTTATTATTATTATTTTTTATTAATCTTTAGTGCTGTCTGTTGTAAAACGCTTTCCTGGTCGGGCTAGCTATTCTTTTCCTAACTACACTTTATCAGAAATTAGTGGCTGGTCAAACAGAAGGGATTCGATTAGTGTTCCTTATCAAGCATTTTCAAAAGGTGAAATCTCTTTTCTTTTGCTTTTTCTATTTTTGTGATAGGTAACAAGTAATGGTGATTTAATTGAAAAGTAACAAGTAATGGTGTAAATGATAGGTAACAAGTAATATTAGTGTACATGACTGTTAACAGGTAGTGGTAGTGTAGATGACAGGTAACAAGTAATAATAGTGGTAAATGACAGGTAACAAGTAGTGGTAGTGTAAATGACAGGTAACAAGTAGTGGTAGTGTAAATGACAGGTAACAAGTAATAATAGTGGTAAATAACAGGTAACAAGTAGTGGTAGTGTAAATGACAGGTAACAAGTAATAATAGTGGTAAATGACAGGTAACAGTTAGTGGTAGTGTAAATGACAGGTAACAAGTAATAATAGTGGTAAATGACAGGTAACAAGTAGTGGTAGTGTAAATGACAGGTAACAAGTAATAATAGTGGTAAATGACAGGTAACAAGTAGTGGTAGTGTAAATGACAGGTAACAAGTAGTGGTAGTGTAAATGACAGGTAACAAGTAATAATAGTGGTAAATGACAGATAACAAGTAATAATAGTGGTAAATGACAGATAACAAGTAGTGGTACTGTAAATGACAGGTAACAAGTAATAATAGTGGTAAATGACAGGTAACAAGTAGTGGTAGTGTAAATGACAGGTAACAAGTAATAATAGTGGTAAATGACAGGTAACAAGTAGTGGTAGTGTAAATGACAGGAAACAAGTTGTTGTTTTAGATATTATGAAACTAATCAAACTAATAAAAAAAAAGGAAATAAGTAAAACAAAATTTAAAAACAAATATAGTATTAAATACATAATAGAAAAGTGTTACTGTATAAAAAATTATTATTAGTATTATAGAGTTTTTTATGTGATAGAGTTTACAATTTTGATAACTTTAACAGTATTCTAACAGAATTATTAGAACTATCTAGTGTTTATATTAAACCAGGTTAAAAGTGACACAAATGATTTTAACATGGAAACCTTTTACATGGTTTGTTATTTTGGCGCCATTTTTGTAATTTTTGTTGTTGTTTTTTTTTTTTTTGTAATTTTTTGTAAATTTTTTAATTTTTGTTAAATTTTGTAAATTTTAGCGCCAGTTTTGTAATTAATTTTAGTTTTAGTTTTAAATCATTTACAGTTATATATTTAGTAAAATAAAGTTTCATTCTATTTATTGCAATTATTATCATGGTGTAGTTTAAGGTTTTTTATGAATGTTTTTTTTTTCCAGATAAAGAAACTTTGATAGCAAGTGCAAATTTCAAGACACTCGGACTCTTGTTACCTCACAGGTGGAATACAAAAAAGTATAGTATAAACTTGCGCATTGTAGGAATAGTCACTATATTTATACAGTTGTCATAAAAATTGTGATGTCTATTTGTAGTGTATTTGGGTATTATTTCAAATTTGAGAAATTTTACAGTGGTTTGATTACAATAGTGCCTAATTTCCTAGGGAATTTATCACAATACAAGAATATCATTGAAGAAAAATATTTAGAGTGTGTAAATAAAATGGTTTTAGAGATACAAGAAAGTTAATGGCTTAAATTAATATAAAATTTATCATAAATTCTCTAAAAAATTTTCTTGAATCTTTTTTTTCTTTATCTCTCTCTTTGATTTAGCCTTTGATTAACTTATAAGCAAAAGAAGCACAAGTTGCCTACAAATGTGACTTTCAAACTCATTTGTGTCTCTACTTACAACCAGAGTCCATCAGAGGTCTCCATATTTCAAGAAAGTTGATATAATAAATTTTAAAATGAAATTGCAAGTGTGCTTGACATGTTTAATACGATTTCAAAAGTATCAAAACTAAATAATACCTATGGTATAAGATATACCTGTGTATATTATAAGATATATTTAAACATAATTTTAGGCTTCTCAAACCCCCCAGACCTTGTTTGGGGGGCTTATAGCTGAAAAAGGGAGAGACTCTTAAGCCACCCCTTGCCCTTAGAATCCTCTTCTCACTGGAACACCTTGAGTGCCTCATTCATAGTCTTATTGTTAAACCCCTCACCACCATTAGTAAATATGGTTAGTGCCTGGTTACAATAATTTTTTAACTTTTTAAAAATTTTTTTTTTGTAATTTGAGTTATGAAATACAGAGATTATACGTTTATAATACTTTTTTGTAACAAGAGGTTATATGTTCAAAATATTTTTTTGTAACAACAGGCATTAGACAACATAAAGCTAGTTAGTAATGTTAGAATAGTTATAGTAAAATAAAGTTGTATTAAAGTGTAAACAACTGTACAAAAATCATCTGGTTTAACTTTTGTTAGTAAGTTATGTTTCAACATAATTTACTAACAAAAATGAGGATTTGTAAATAATGAAAACCATAGTTATTTAATTTGATTCAATACAAACTTCTCTATGCAATAAAGCAAAGTACATTGCTAAAATCATGAACTCAAAATTTACCAGTAGCATTTACTATAGCTTTAATAGATAATTTATTGTTACTAGTTTTTCCTACCTATATAGCACACAGTATTTTCAGAAAAAGAAAAAGTGCTAAAATGCCGAACCCTCATTCACCAAACATGCAAATCCCTCAGTCAATGTAGAGCATATTGGGCAGATTAGGGTATTATGAGCACCTTAAGCAAGAAGTAGAATATTTTCAAAGATTATTATGCTAGATCCAAAATTTTTAGGGACATTTTTTTTCTTCTTAGAAACACAGAGGTTTTAAAAAAGTTGCAAAAGTGCTCATATTTCCCAGACCAATTGGCTCAAAAAAATAATATTAAGTAAAAAAATACCAACTTGACAATTAGAAGTAATTTGTGAAATATAATTTTTTGTTATAAACAAAACTTATCATTAAAAGATCATTAAAAGAATTCTAAGCCACTTTTATTAAAACTTTGTTTTACGCAAAAAAAATTACATAAATTTATTTAGTATTGTTAAAAACTTTTACTATGTTTTGTTTTTGTTTAAAAGGCAATTACAACCATTGCAATTTTAGGACTTTAAACTAGCTAATTTCAATGAAAAACGCTGGGTGATTTGAGCATGCTCATATTACACAAAAATGGTACATTTAAATAAAACTAAATATAATGCATTATATTTCAAACAAAAATAGAACGGATTTCTAGCTAACATATTCTTTACAAAAAATTAAGTTTTATTATTTTAGCATCAAAATTTTATTTAATTAGCGACTTTCATCTAATTAAAATGCATTTTAATTAGATGAAAGTCGCTAATTACTGCATATAAATTTATGCTAATTATACTGATTCCTGTTATCACCAAATAAAGTTGATTCAAAGAATACAAAGCAACTTTAACTTAAATGCTTACATTTTAGAAATCTTTTAGTATGCTCATATTACCAAGGTGCCCATGTTTCTCTAATCTATCCTCCCTGTATATATATATATATATATACTTAAATTACAAGTAAAGTTAGCTACAGCTGCACAAAAAATATGAAAAGAATTATAAAAAGGTCACAATATTGCTTTGTTAAACAAAATAGAAATTCTAAAAAAAAGTTACAGAAAACCAAAAATTTGCCCAATGAGTGGATAATGTTTATCAAAAAAGTGTTAGTTCTTCTAAGAACGCACCTATTAAACAATATATTGGCTTAACAGGGGGTGAATGAAAAAAACATTACGCCAATCATAAGCAACCCTTTAAAAACAAAAAATATTTAAAAGACACCATGCTGTCAAAATACATTTTATTTTTTTGTTGCTCTTTGCTCATATTTTCTCGTATGCAGCCTAAATATAAAAAAAAGCCTCTATGCTTATATTACACCTAGATTTGCAAAAAAAAAATTTGTCAATAACTCTGTCATAT